TATATTAAGATTTTTTAATGCTTATATATGTATGTAACCACCATTCAACCATGACAACAAATAGACACGATACAAAGTCAACATAAATGTCTGTCAAATCGAATCAATATTCTAGATCATCTATTTCTATACCAGAGAACAACAATCAGCCACTGTCTTAAACTGGAACATAACTTTTGTTAACCTTTTGGTTCTGTTTTGTTGTTGGAGTCTTATCTCTATATTAGTTGATTTTCATTTTCAATGCGTTAATATTTCTGTTGAAAATTGTTTTTAATCATATTTTATATGGTATATTTTGTTAGCTGTCTCATATCTTTTGTTTTTGTTTTCAATAACGCAGCACAGCTGTTGAATAAAATACCATTGTCATATTTAAATTCAGGCTCATTTGATGAGTCAGATTATTTGATTTTTGTGTCTTGTGGCCTTGTTCATCATTTTCTATTTGTACGTTGTGCTAATGTGTTTCTTCTCATTGACTGATTAACTGTTTTTAAATTTTAGAGTTTGATTTATACTTTTTTGGCGAGATTTCCTTAAAAGATTCATTAAAATCTCATTAGTGCAACCTTTTTCAAACTTGATAAGTATTATGTCCTTTTTATTACTTGTGCAAATAAATTATTTTCTGTCTTATTAGATTGTCTGTGTCACCTGTAAAGTTTGAACCAGGTTAACCCTCAACTGATGTTGTCCACTTCAACAGGAGGGAGGGATAAAAGTTCATATCTCAATTAGATTTTCTCCAGTCTCACATAAAACAGGAAACTTTCCTGTTTGGCAGCAGTAAGAACTTACCACTTCTATGACTGTTTACAGTTCAAATAACATCAAACCCTCCATCGGCAGCTGTATGGGGTCAGAAGAGCAAAGGGCTGTGAGATCCAGGAAGTAAGAGAAGCTTCAGAGCTCTCAGATGTCTCAGATGGCATTGTGGTACGGTTAGTTGTTCTTTAATGAGCGATCTCGCTCTGCCAGCAGGCGCTCTTGTTACAGCACAAAGCCTCAGACACGGGAGGGAAGACGACACCTGTGTGAGACTGAACATCATGCCACATGTGCCTCATAAGAGACACTGTAGACCAGTGCTAGTGTGGCAGTGATCACACCATTAAAGTTTAACACACAGAGCTGGGAGTGATGCCAGAGAGGCAGACAGATGCAGCCAAAGCTGGCTTACCAACCAGTCAAAGAAGGTGACCACTACCCATTACCCTGGTTTCCTAAAAGCCTGAGGTTTACTCTACTCGTTTTTCTTCTACATAATTTCATGAATTGCAAATTTCTTAGAAATTTGCACCACAGAAGTACAACCTCCATCCTCTATATTATGGGTCTGGTCTTGAAGAGGAACATTGTGTCAAAATCTAATTTTAAGATGTAAACTGTTATCCTGTTACTCATTTGTTTTAAAGTTGTGTTTCATTTCAGTAATTAACACAAAAAATTTAATTATTCCATCATATGTGAACTGCAAGCTGTAAACAACAATTATTTTCATTATGAATATGACAATTGTTTTAAGTAACTGTTTGATTGTTCCCAAAGATGTTGAGTTTACTGTCTCTGTGTTCACACGTTTACAGCCACACACACACACACACACACACACACACACACACACACACACACACACACACACACATACACACACACGCACACATAAACATAACATAAACCTGCTTGTTTAATATATTGAACCATGTCAGCTGTATAAACAAGACACTGCATCTTTCCACATGTGTGAACATCTCTGGGAACGTTCTCTGTGTAGGCCGGATTAGATACAGTACACTGTAGCGTAACGTAAGACAAAGTGATCTGACCAGGCACACGACACCCTGGACACCAAATGAAAAATTAACAACACACACACACACACACACTGATACAACACTTCCATTGACACAGGCGCAGGGACCATGCACAGGGAACGTCTTCTTTAATTGGGTGGGTAAAGATTGATTTGGGCGAGTCTTTATAATTTGGGCAAGTTTGTGTATTATTAGGGCAGTTTCCACCTACAAAAACTTAGGCATGAGATAAAGATACTGTGTGGGGTGAAAGGGACATGTGCATGCAGGTGTTATGAAAACTGCAACAACAGTTCCAGCAGCACCAGTGGCGGTGACACACACCACATGGACGCAATTAAGTTACTTTAAAAACATCTGGCGACCAGTTTTTGGAAAAATCGTCAGTGAGAAATTGAGCTGTAACTCAGTCAAATCTGAACTTACCAACATATTTTTAGATTCAATATGTCATAAACCTTTAAACATCATAGAAAAAAGACACTCCTTATAACTGCAGATCCCCCTGAGAATCATCACGTTTTTAAGTTTCCATATGTATTAAAGTAATTAATTAATACTTGTCTGTAAATCACCTGGTATCTAGCAAATGAGAACTGTTAATAGTGAATTCTGTGTACTCCGACATGTAAATAAATATAGCCTGAAAAAAATGGAGCTCGGTTGTAGCCCACAGCTCACTCATTTAATCCATGGCAACCTTTCTTGTAAAAGTTTACATCTCTTCATACAAGAGGCGATTTTAAATGTTGAATGTAATATTATCTAAAAGACTTTGAATAAATAAAAGACTTTGTCCTTGCTACTCTCAAATGCATCATAATGCGTTGGCTGATTTCAGACAGCCGTAGAAAAAAGCTTCTCAATGACTCAATTTTGCCAGCTAAAATGGCAAGCTAACGTAAGCTAATTAAGATAACATTAGCTTCATGAGTTGGTAGAAAAAGCCTCCAGTCGACTTTTTAATGCTTCCACTTAACTCATTTTGAAATGAGAACCCTGCTACGAGTCTTACATATGCACTGCTTGGCTGTATACATCCTCATTTTGAAATGAAAAATTAAACATTTCTATAGGCCTTTTCAGACAATACACTGAGAAAAATACATGACAAGTCAGTCATCAAGACACCTATAACACTAAGCAAAATTAGACGTGTGCAACAAAACAATTGTGACAGATTCAGGGTTGAAAAACAAGGACTCGTACTCTGGTTTCTGTGTCACTGGCGTCCTCTTCAAGGCACTTAACACAGTTAGTCTCATGTTGGGTTTGATATACTGTGAATGTGATACTGGTGATACGACTTAAATTACACAGAAGAACAATTTCAGCTTCTGGTTGCCACTGGCCCTTAAGTAGCATTCGCATTGGTCGGCCACTTGACTGATCCAAACTAGTTGAGATTGGCTTTAAATGCTGATTGGGGGTCAGTTCAGCAGTTTTAAAGACTGGCTCTCTGATCAATAATCTTTTCAGACAGATCTTTGGCCTACCTCTGAGTGTCTCCTCTCTGGAGTCATTAACATGATTCTTTTTTGAACCCTGTGTTGAGAGGTATTTTGATGATATTATACCTGTGTCCCTGTCTGAAATAAAGGAGCCCTGTCAGCGACTGACCAATACTAATGCAATTTCTCCTCTTGTCACTGAAATCCAGAACCAATCACGTTCACTTTCCCCCAACCACAAATCCAGTCACGTACACTGACCCGGGCACAAGGACCAAGAACACATTATGCTGCCATCGAGTAATCGGATTTGCTTCTTGCTCATAATAGAGCAATTTCCTGTAAAAGAGTTTAGTGAATTTGCAAAGTCTGTAACCTAATCCTGTAATTTATGGTGTATATATGTCCTGTTTTCCAGGAACAATGCCTCAGTTTTAGAGGATAAATATGATGAAGCTCAAAAATCTGACAGAAGTCACCTTGAGAGAGAGAGAGCAAACAGAAGGCTACAATATGAGTGTGATATTGCACAGTTAAAACTGTCACTGTCAAGCTGGCCACTTGGGTGCAGCAGAACAAGCTATGAACGCAACTCTTAGATATTATGACCTTTAAAAAAATTAATATGGTGAACTTGTTAGCCAAGAGTTGCCTGTTAGTGCATCCAGTAGATACTGAGCAACAGTGTCATTCTTTTTGTCCTCGTGTTTTGGTCCATCTGGAAAATCTAAGTCCAATATTTACTCTCCTTTCAACTCTTTGGTGTCTGCCAACTGGTAGGAAAATATATGCATGTTTAGCTGCTAAATGCTCCACTAGCTAGTTGCTAAATTAGTTTGCATTGTTGCAGCACATTACTGAAACCAACTGTCAATAGATGCCTCTCCATCCACCTGTTTTTCAATTTGTACACTAAAATACTTGAATAGAAACATGGGAATAAAAAAATCAAAATATAGCAAAAAAAAAAAAGAAAAGTTTTTATGCTTGGCTGAGGTTGAAAAGTTGGTGTATTGATAAAAATAAAATGGAGCCAAAGTGCAATGAAAACAGACTTCAGTGAATATATCATGACATACATGAAGTATGTGTCTTAACCTTTTACTGAAGAGATGAAAAGTAATATATGAAACATTCCCATCATTTTTTAGGTTGAGACTGGCACGCTTTAAATTACATAATCTCATTGCACTGGTCATACATACTGTAGCTATAAACGTCTGGTTTATTCATCAGCGCACTGGGCTTTTGATGTGCAGGCGTAGTTAGCAACCAGATGTTTAGAGTCTAAGTACGTATACCTTCAGGAAATTAGAAATACTGACCGGCATACATCATGCTGTATTTGGGAAACACTTTATGCCACTTTACCAACAGGAATTGACTTATCCATCTACATTTACCAATGAGCTTGCAGTGATCCAGTCAGGTCTACACATTTTGTCATCTATGCTATGTTATTCTATAAAACCACATCATTATAACCAAGGTTTAGATGTTCATTTTTTTTCTTATTTCTCTTTAGCAAAAGAATTTTACCTACAGCTGGAGATGAACAAAACACCAACAATGCAGGCAACAATGTGACATTTCTTGAAGTCTGACGTACTAATTAAATCAAGTGGCGGGTTTCAGTGAAGATGTTGAATGAATTGAATACATGAAATCATCATTATGATGTGATTATAAATGCATTATAAGATTGACATGAGAGTCAGAGGAACAGACTCACCATGGGTCTGCGGTTTTCCACCAGGTGGATGCCAACAATGCCCAGAAACGCTCCGAAACTCAGCTGGAGGTACAAAGAGAGCAAAACAAGGAGAAACATTAGGTTTCAGATGAGGGAAAAAAAAAACACAATGTCACAATCATAAGAGTGTTTGACTGGTTATTGAAAGTCAATTTTTAGTGAGACGGGAGGTGACTGTCACTCACTGTGATGCCAGGGTAATATCCAGCCACGGGCACATTGTCAGTGCGGGTGGCAGAGATGAGACCCACTGCCAGCACCAGCAGAGACAGAGCCAGCAGAGACACAGTCACCCACAGAGCCGATTTCCTCCGACGCAGGTACTGAACTGAGGACAAATGGGAGGAAGATGTGAGAGGAAGACCTCTTTACCTTCATTACCACTTGTTCCCCTGGTTCTGAACCCTCTGAATTACATGTCATCTTGGGCCTAATTCTGAAATCCAAATCCATCTGAAGACAACATGGACATATTGAAATAATTTTTCTGTCTTCTTCATTAATTCCTCTTTCAATTTTTTCCTGATATATGAGCAGTGATGGGAGACGTATTCAAATCATTTACTTGAGTAAAAGCACCAAGAACAATATATTATTATATGTCATGCTCATAGCATGTAAGCAGTGTTAATGGTTGTAGCTAGCTAATTCTACCTAGTTTATATACTGTTGGGTGGTTTGATTTAATGTATAAGACATCATATTTTGTATGCTTATGTCATCAGTGATATGCAGGATTTTTGATTTTTACACAGTAATAGTTTTTGTTTTGAAGCTCCAATCAATAAGGTGTGTGTGCAAGAACTTTGAAGTAATTATTATACATTCTTAAAATCATAATCAGCAAAGTGTGGCTGTCAGGTGAATATGGTGGAGTACAAAGTGCAATATTTTTCTCAGGAAGTTAGAGGAGTAGAAGTGTAAAACTCAAATACTCAAAAAGTACTTTAAATACTTGAGTAAATCCTTCTACCTCTGGATCTGTGGGAAAAGCATTTTAAGTATTTCTAAGAAAAGCTTAACCACAATTTGTTTTTCTCTTTTCTAAAAGAAGAAACCAATTAGCCCTGTGTCTTTGCTTTGGAGGACCTTCTGCAGCCCTTTGCTCCCAAAGGTAAACATATAGAAATGTTTCTTGTGCACTGAACTTCCCTGGAGCAGCACTGAATAATGATAAGTAAGTAATAATAAGAACAACTTTTGGGTTGCCAGATTGTGGAATATCCTACTCTACCTCCACTTGTCTTTTTAGCTCCAAGGATTGTTTGACCACTTGTCTTCGGGAAAAGAGCTGCAGGACATGTTAATTTATAAACATCTTATTAGCATTTACCCTCATACTTACAACTACAGGCATGATGGATTATTGAAGAACCTTTTATCAGTGATGTATTAACATTTTTAAATACAGGTGACTGACTAACTTTTGCCAAATTGAAAAATCCAATACTGTTTATTGTCATGGGCTACTAACATTTACAACTGCAAACCTGATGACTTGTTTGTGTTATTGCTGAATAGAAAGACACATCCATGATATTACCAGGACATTTTATTTAACCAGGGCACACTGATGCATGAAAGTCTTTATTCAAACAACAGAATGTTTCATTCTTAACTTCAAAATGTAATAACAACTCTCACCATCAGCATTTCATATTTATTATTCTCTCTACATTTGAACTACTTTAAGTCATGCGTACAGATCAAAAGCTAGTAGAACTGGATGTGGAGGTAAATAAATGGTTATATCATAACACGTGTGCGGTGGATTTTGGTCCGGGTGTCCAAGAGCCCTATTCCCAGAAGATACGTGTTGAAAGTAAGCCAGCAAAGTGACATGCTGGAGGAGGATTTTTCCCCAACCTGGCAACCCAGAAGTTGTTATTATTAATGGTTTATAACTGAGCTATTAATGATAAATCCATTAACTACAGCTTATAGACCATTCATAAATGGTGCCTTATGAGAAAGTGGTCAGGAAAACAAACATGCCTACTGTGTTTAAAATAATTGAATGATATCAGTTAAAGATGCTGCTGTAACTCTGAGCCTCCTGTAGTGACTGGTTAAAAGATGCCGGGATGAAAGTTGACCAAACTGTACCTGTCGGATCCAGTATTTCTGTCGCTGTTTGCTGAGTTGTCTGCTGGGTCTCAGGCTGCTGCATTTCGCCTCAAGTCTGGATGAATCCGCTAAAATTAAAAAAATAAATGAGAGCAGGCAGCTGGACCGATGCTACAAGCTGCGAGATAGATGGGCTTTTTGTTTTCTTATGATTCAAACATTTTTTTTTTTGGATAAATAAGCGCACAATATCAGATAAAATTGAGCACAGCTACTCTGAGCTCAGACTGGTTCAACTTTTCTTGAAACCCGAGAGTCAGAGAGAGAGAGAGAGAGAGAGAGTCAGAGAGAGAGAGGGAGAGGGAGAGAGAGAGAGAGAGAGAGAGTGAGAGAGAGCGAGAGAGAGAGGGAGAGAGAGAGAGAGAGAGAGAGAGAGAGAGAGAGAGAGTGATCAATTATTAAATTACTTATCTAACATTAATGTAATTGCTTAGATTTTTGGTTAATGTACTTACTAAATACCTACAGTGAAGTCAATAGTATATAATCAAAGTGTAGGTTTATTGAGTGGGTTATTAAAAAAAAACTGGTCATGATGCTGCAGCGTTGATGTGGAAAATAACTAGTGATATGAAGCTACAGCGCCCTCCATCGGCCAAGGCTTTATAAACAAGCCATAAACAGTTTACAGACTCATCGACATTTGCGGGATGTTTTTGGAAATTGCTGCTCATCCTATTTTTCACTATCTGCACTGGGCTGCAACTAACGATGGACTTCATTATCAATTCATCTGCTGATCATTTTCTTGATTCATAGATTTATTGTTTTGTCCATAAAGTAGTGAAACATGTCCCGTAAAATTACCCACAGCTCAAGATGTGGCTTGTTTTATTTCAACAGCACTTTATGGCAAAGAAAAGCAGAAAATTCTCACATTTGAGAAGCTGGAACCAGCAAATGTTTCACATTTTAGTTTCAAATTAAATTTTCTGCTGATCAACTAATTAATTATTAATGTAGATTAGATTGATTTTAATAGTAAACAATTATACAATTGTAGACATAATTTGTTCAATGATACCCACTGAAGAGTAAGAGTAAGACGTGTACTGCCACACATGCAACACAGATCATTTTAGTATGTCCTTATTTTGAATCCTGGCCGTTACTGAAAGTGGTGCTGTCTGCTTGTGTTTGGCTTTATGACTCTATAACACACAGTATATATTGCTGCCTCTAGGAGGAAGCTTGGCTGTAGGTGGAGGAGCTGGATGTGTAAATGTGTGAGTCACACACAAAAGATGATGATTTTATTGGCAAAATATTTATTTAGATTCATGAACATCTCTGCAGCAGCGGATCCAAGCTTATGTACACCTCTGAAGCTGCACAACAACTGAGAAGCAAAAAGTCGAAACACAGACAACACGTGTGTGTGTGTGTCACGTCACCTAAATTTATTTGTCATATAAAATGCCTGTGAGAGAGTTATAAACACGTGAGCGTCAGGGCCGGTGAAGACAGAGAGCCACTGTCAGCTCACACAGCAGCCAAATAAATCCAGAGATCTGCACTATTTGGGCTTAAAATGCTCCTTTTACTTACATTTTATTCACACTGACACACACAGAATAACTGATCATTCATTCCTTAAAAAATCAACAGTAGTACAATGTGAGAAACAGATAAGTATATAATGCGAGACAAAAGTGAAGAAAGACACTAAAGAAAACACAGTATCAGTATCAGTCCACATGAACTCAACATTTTACAGTAAAAAGTTGTTAAAGCATTAATTAAATGTAAAACTTTGGCTAGCATTGCAGGAAAAAACATTGAAAAAAAAAAAGTGCATCGTCATTATCTATTAGAGCTGCATCATCAATACCTTTCATTTCCTTTCCACCACTAACCGGAAATCTTATAAGAAACGTGCTGAAGAAATAAAGTTGGATTCATTGATAAACAAACAGTTCATGCAGTTCACACAGCCTCTTACGACACGGTGCAGGTGGAGGACTTGGGCGGCTGCTCCAGGATGGACTCACGTCGCAGGTCGTCGGGCAAAGCGCCTTCCTGGCCCCAGACCGTGAGCTCACCGTAGATCCCCATCTCGATCATCTCCTCCTGCCAGGGGATGGAGATGTTCCCCGAGGCAAACTCATCAAAAAAATCCTTGTCCTTGTCTTCCAGCTGCACGCCTTTGACTGTGGAGAAGGCCCCGACGTCGTCAATGTCCTTGGCATACACCGTCTTAGAGTCTGGCACGAAAGGGGGTGGAAGGATCCCTGAGGAGACACAGCACAGGAAGATGCACATGTCAGGCACTGTGGTCTGGGAGTTTTCTTATTTTCCAGTGTTTTTTCCTTTTAAAACAATCTATCACAACAAAGACAGACCAGGTTGGATAAAAGTCCCAGTCTGTTTGCGTTTGACCATTGTGCATGTTTTAGCTCATCAGAAAGGCCCATTTGGCTTATTGAATTTATAGGACTTTTACGTTTGTTTCGGCAATTTGTAGAGTTTAATGTGGATTATTTAGTTTTCTCTTGCACTGTGGTTTCCCGTGGTTCTTATCTTTTATAGCTTTTATGTTGTCTTGTGTTTCTTTTCTCAATGCCTTTAGTGTTTTGTGTATAGCACTTTTGAATTGCATTTTTGTGGAAAGGTGCTACACAAATAAACGTTCCTTGCCTTGATTTTATCAACTGTGAAGGAAGCAATTTCTCAGAAACACTTAATGGTTTATTGGAAGTGAAGGTCTGTTCTTTGCACATCAGGATATTTTAGAGAAAAGGTTAAAACACATTCTATATATACTCTCCAAGATGACTGAATATTTGTCAGTGATATAACTAGACTCACAAATGACCAGCCTCTAAAGAAGGTTGTGTCCCAAACACAGAAATTTTAAAATATTTCAAATAAAAAAAAGACAAAACTACCACACAGACAGCCACATAATAGTGTTAGAGAAATGAGAATAAGAAATGTCACATAACATTAAATATTTATTACTATAAGAGCAAAAATAAAGTTCAGAAAAACAACCGTAGTTATTATTTAAGAGTTAAAGATCCAACACTCAGTTAATTATCTGACTGTTCCAGTGTGTTTCTGATCAATTTGATCAAAAAAGAGAATAGACAGCGACACACTCATAAGTTGAAATAAATCCACCTCTTTTTTAGATCTTTTCATTGCGAGCCAACACCAGCCAATCATCAATTAGTTTTTCACTGATCGATGTCAGTAGCCTGGCAACATCAGCAAACAAGCACACAACTGGTTAGACTCAAATGTTGCTAAATCCTGTTTGGTGCACAGAAACATTGGATATCACCTTCTGCCAAAATCAAACTAGTGAGAAGGGCAAAAACAAAACAAAGAATATAGAAATTTCTCATGAGAAAAATACAGTATTTGCTCAAAGTGAGAAACTGATGGAGAAAATACATCTTCAGGACCTGGATAAATATTAAAAATGGCAAAATTCTCTTCCATTAAATAACTATAAAAATTATTTATTGCAAAAAATCCATATCCAGCCATTGTGGATGCACACTAGTTGAATAAAGCAGAGCCTCTTCCAGTAAGTCACTTAGTGTTACTGCATTATTACAAATTATTATTATTATTTGAGCACATGGTTTACTTGTGAAGAAGTGACACCAAACTGTTTCTAGAAGTGAATTTTATCAACTGAAAGAGAAAAAGAAGATGAAATTCTTAAAGATTAAACATGAACTGGGTATCAGTGTGTGTAGTAACTGGTAACAACTGAGGAAACATTGTTTTGTCTATCTGACACAGACCTGCGTTCAGTTTCCTCCAGTTGATCTCGCTGAAGAAGGGGTGTGCCCTGAGGTCATCACAGGACCCGTTCTTGAAGCCGAGCCGCTTGTCGACCTCTTTGCACAGCAGACCTTCACAGATGGACCGGGCGTTCTCACTGAACTTCTCTGGGTAAGTTACAGGATCGTTCAGAATCCGCTTCTTCACCACCTTGTTCTCCACCTTCAGACAGAACACAGAACCTCCCATTTAAAACCGGCACATGTCGCATTAGTCCAAGCTCCAGGCCATGCAGGTCAATCCAGGCCAGGCTACAATACCACTTTAAATCCTCTATAAAGTAGATAAATATATATATAGATGTACATAGGTAGCAAGACTAATGTGTAAATATGTAATAAAATTCAATCATTTAAAGTTAAATGCGGGGTCAGGGCTTCATATTTCACAGCAGTGTCAGCATCAGGCCACAGGTAGGTGATGTTGAGCTATAAAATCCTACAGGACTGTTAATGTATTATCACACAGGCTTAATAAAAGCATGTTTAAACATCACATGGCAGAGGGAGGTCAGAGATGAGGGGATTGTGAAGAAAGAGGCAGAGGAAAAGACCCAAATAAACCATGCTTAAAGCACACAGTGAATTTAATTTGAATTTACCTTCTCTCCTCGGCTCCTAAAAGGTCCCTTGGCAGCCAGAAACTCATACAGAGTGACCCCCAGAGTGAAATAATCTACAGAGTAGTCGTACTCCTCTCCTTTCAGCAGCTCTGGAGCCATGAAACCTGCAGGAAAGAGAAAACAGGTCATGACCTTTCAGTTGAGGATAAGACAAAGAGGATCAATTTATTATATATTTATAGTTTATTCATCAAATTTCAAACATTAAATGTTGTTTTTTAATCTGTGTGATTTTCACCTGATGGAAGTCTGAGGACCGAAATGCTGTCTTAACAGATTCAGTTCAAGTGATGGACAGTGTGGGACTACAATTTTGCTATGTGTATAATTGTGGAAAGTAAAGACCCTAAATTCCCAGAAATATTATAAATGACATGACCACAGTAACCTCACTAACAGCTATGGCCCTGTTAGCAACAAGATGAAAATACCACCTACATGTTACTGTATCAATAGTTGAACACATAAGGAAGTACGTTTTGCTCCCAACAATAAAAGTAAAATGACTTTAAATACCTCTACTACTCAAAAATAATTAGTTTTCATTATAGCTGATCTACATGTAATATCATATTGTATGAGTTGATACACCTCAAACTACAGCATAGAGCTAATAACCAATATTATCTACAAAAATAGACTGCTGCTCTTGAAAAATCCTTAATTACAATGTTTCTTTTTAGAATAAATGAGATAAAACTTTAGTATATACTGTGTTTATACTACCTATTAAATCTGACATAAGCTGATAACTGCTCCTATCTGTTTCGTACTGCCCAGTACCTCTTCATGCCTTTATTTGTTTAATTATTTTAATCTCAGTCTGTTGCTTTATATTGTTTTAGTGCCTAGACCCCCTTCTTATAATTTCTATCCCCTTTAATTGCTTACATCATCTTACATCTTATTTTGGTCCTTCTGGTCTCAATTTATGTTGTTGGGTTCTTGTGTTGCTTGTGTTGCTTGGGTTCTTATGGGTTTATATGTTGCTGTTGTTGTTTTGGTTTTTCTGCCATTGTTCACTTATGTATGTTGTGCTTTTATGTCAAAGCACTTTGTAAACCCTTGTTTTTAAAGGTGGTATATAAATAAATTATAAAGTAGCAGCACAGTTTCATTTCAGCTAATCAGGTAACAGTGGTTACTAAGGTAATGGCAGCTGCAGAATAGGCCATACAGTAAACACTGCAGCATGCTTGTTGATTCATTACAGAGGGAGAAAGATAAACACTGTAGATCTGTGGGTTTTGTGGGTGTGGGCCTTGTTCACAGATCCTGCTGTAAGAACTACAACAAGGTAAAAGTCAGTTTGGTGATTATTATTTTCAACTGTACCTGGAGTCCCAGCATAGCCCTTGATTTTGAACTGATCTTCAGCGAGCTCCACGGCCAGACCAAGGTCAGAGATACGGACGTTACCTGTGAGAACAAACACCAGGGCAATGTCAAGAGCTGTGCACGTCACAGATACGAATGTTGACCTGCACTCTACGTCTCTGAATCATGAACCTGTAGTAAAGTGATAACTCAAAAATGTCCTTGTGCTGGATGTAAGACAAACTGTGTACAGTAAGTGTGAAGTGTGTGCGAGTGTTTCAGTGTGTTTATACAAACCGGCATGTGCACGTGTGTCTTTTGACCTCAGGAGGCCAAGAATAAGAGATATTTTTAAAGTCAAGGTGAGGGACTATAATTTCATTATAGTAAAAGAAAATTGGTATATCTTGTTTCTAGGTTGAGGGAAGGGTTATATTCAATTGTTTTAAAGGGATAGTTCCTCATATTAGGAAATGTGCTTATTCATTCTCTTGCATGTCTGTATGTTAAGTATGAAGCTGGAGTCAGGACACGGTTGGCTTAGCACAAAGGCTGGAAGCAGGGGGTAACAGCTAGCCTAGCTCTGTTCACTACTCCTCAAAGTCACCCAGTAAAACCACAACTTGTCATTTTAACTCTTGGATTTCTGTCTGAATTAAACAAAAGAGATATAACGTGTTAACTATAGTGAGCTAAACCTTTTAAGGTGCTTGTGTTGCCTCTGGAAAGAGCCATGCTCACTGTTTCCCCCTGCTTCTAGTGTTTATACTAACGTTAAGCAAAGCTAATCCTCTCCTGGCTGCAGGGTGGTACCAATCTTCCCATCTAACTAACTCTCTCTAACTCTAAGAAAGCAAAAAAGAAAATGTCCTAAAATGGCAAACTAATGTTTTAATTAAATATTCTAATGGTACAAATATCAGTAGCTACACAATAATTCCCTAGTGAACCAAGATGAACCAAAATGGTTGCTTTAATGCATCTAAATGGGAAAATGAGCGGCATCTGCAGAGTTAGATTACCTCAGTTTGACAGTCATATCAGTTACCAACAACACAATGACTGTGAGAAACCTGGACGGAGCATTTAAAACTACATCTTTCTTTCTTGTAGACGAGTGTCTGACCTTGATTATCCAGCAGCACATTCTCTGGCTTTAGGTCTCTGTAGATGATCCTCTTCTGGTGGAGGTGCTCCATGCCCTCTATGATCTGAGCAGCATAGTAACAGGAACGAGGCTCATCAAACCCAGGGTTGTTTTCATCCACGTTATAAATGTGATACCTGGTGGCATAATGAGAGAGGACGCACGGCGATGTAAGGAAACACATACAATGCACACATTTCTTTTATACACACAAAATATTTCCCTTTCTAAAGAGACAAATGCAGTATACTCATGTAGCATTCTATATACTGTATGCAGTGATTAATCGATTTGTCAATTGGAAGACATATTATCAATAACTATTTTGATAATTAATTAATCATTTCTGTTGTTTATCAAGCAAAATTTTTTTTTTCACTGGTTCCAGCTTCTTAAGTGGGAGGACTTGATGCTTTTCTTTGCCATATATGATAATAAACTGAATATCTTTGGGTTTAGGATTGTTAAAGTTACTGTTACTGAATAAATTATGTTTTATTTGGCTGTGGCATATTATAACAGACATTTTTCACTATTTTCTGACATTACATAGACAACAATTAATTGATTAATCAAAATAATCAAAAGATAAATCGATAATGAGTATAATCATTTCAATACAATATATGTGGGGAAACATCAGGAAATATGCACTATGAATCATTGATCCCATTTTCCACAATTTTCTATCACACTAAAGCCAAATAATTATCAGATCTAAATTTCAGTGCATAATATCCCTGCAGTATATAAAAATATTGGTTCATAATGTTGTGTTGCAACATTAGATCCCTTGGATGTAGGATCAAAGGGTGAGATTGAAATATGAGGCTAAAATAAATTTAAAAAACATTAGTAGATGTTGTGGTCAGGATCTAATTGAGTGAGAGTGAATGAGATCTTACCTCAGGTCTCCCCCGTTCATGATGGTCATGACCAGACACAATTCTGTTTTCGATTGGAAGGCGTACCCCAAAGAGACAATGAACCTGCTGTGAACTCGAGCCAGGATCCTCTTCTCCACCATCGCCCCCTACAGGACAGGAAGGGACAGCAGATATGAGTAGAAATTTAAAACAAATAGTCTTGTTTGTACACATGCATCATTTGTGCATTTGTTCTAAGTTATCAAATAAACAGGGCTAAGTAATTCAGCTGGACTACATGGTGGTTATATATCGTCTTAATTAACTCTTTCTTTTAATGTCCTCACTATTGAAGCTCAAAGAGCCGTAGAACAGCGTTGACAGGCTTTGGCTTGAGCATTAAAACGGGAGTAGTGTACAGAGAAGGCATCATGATGGTGGAAAGCTCTGACATCTGACACTTCAGAAATGGCTGCACAACAGTATTTCAGTCATGGCTTAACATCAAATCAAGGAAATACTTTTCCACTATAAATGATTGCTTTTGAATGTACAGTTTCAGAGCACCTTTTAGATAATGTTGCATTAAAATCTACAAAAACAAAAAAACTACCAAATAAAATAACTGTTTATTCAACAGCCTGTGATTTACAGTGTAACTTTGTTATATGAAACAGGTAGTAAAAAAACAATCACTGGTTCCTAATGATACTTACAGGTGAAGAAAACAAGAAGGTTAACAACTGTGCATTTTAGATGAAAGCAGAAATAAATTATTCTCTAACTATTTTTGAAAATACTGGGTACCTACAGGGTACAGTACTGGGAAACAAAACTGAAGTTTTGGAAAATTGGTGTTAACAACTTATTGTTTCTTATTGTGTAATTAAAGAGTAGAGAGGGGACGACAGTTGATAAATGTAGTTAATAAATAAGCAAAAATGTATAAGAGTATAAACTCAATAAATTCTAGTTTTCTAATTAAATACTACAGATTATTCATTTTTTACCCACCTACGTCTATATCTGATTAATAAAAAAATTTTACCCTCAGATGGTAATAAAAGCCTTTCACAGTTGTGTACTCGACAAAGTTACATTTGTTTTCAACTCCAGCATACCTGTTATGAGCTGCTGCACTGCCGCACCAACCATTTGTGCTTGTTTTTCTCCTAATCAATAGTCATATGCAGAGCTAACCAGCATTACTTTGACCGTATTGCACTGTATTGACTTTGATCCCCCTGGTGTAGCAATATCAGCATCAAAAATTACAGGCACCTTATATATGTTTTGGGGACTGAGCAGAAGATTAGAAAAACTACTCCAGAGCCGCTCCATTTATAAACATGGCAGGATTGGCACTTTATAAGGAGATCAAAATGTTCCAATGCTCAGGGCACTAATCATATAAGCCAAAGGTGCCTAACGTCGTCTGCAAGGCTGCATCTAGTTACTGACAGTTGTTTAGAGAGGAGGATTACACAGACACTGTGTATTAAAGATACACAACTCATGTTTCCAAATTTCAACCACTGCACAAACTGCAATGTATACCAGCCCTGAGTAATACTCTTGTGCAGCTAGATCCATAATCTGCTTCTGCAAAACTATCTCCCTTTCTCTAATGAGAAAGGACTTGTTATGATCAGTGTAGGCTTCTTACCTCATAACCTTTTCTCTTCTTCAGCCTCTTCTTGTTGAGCTTTTTGCAGGCGTACAGTTTCCCCGTGGCCTTCATCTGACAGGCAGACACTTCCCCAAAACCCCCTTTCCCCAACACACGAAAATCCAAGAACCAGTCCTCTCCCATGGGCTGCATCTCCAGCCACTTCCACTGCAGAAACCTTTTCAGATACATACTCTCCAGGAAGAAGGTGTAGGGCACTTCCTTGAGAAAGTCCATCACACAGTCCGTGATCTCACTGAAGAGCTCATCCCCGGCCTCTTGGTGTTTCTCTTTGACGTTTGTGATGCCGTTTTCTGGCAGGAAGGGGCAGAAATACTTGGCGTCAGGTTCCATGTACCGGGACAAGATCTTGCTTGCTTTCTTCACACGATCCTCATCCTCAGCCATGTTGTACTCCTCAATGTCCTTCCACAGGCGGCAGGGACCTTTATACTCTTTGTTGGAGTCTAGGAACTCCTGGAACAGACGTTTGCCGATGGGCTGCTCCACACAAACTGTCTGGAAGCCCAGGTCTAAAGTCTCCCGCAGACCCTCACACACTGTGATGTGAGGCAGCTTCAGGCGCGAGTGGTACTTCTTGTCCCGATTGGATGCTGGGTTGGCAGTGCCATCAACGCTCCCTCTGGCTGAGATGTAGGCGGAATTGGCCACCACTGTCGTCAGGCCACCAATATCCATGGTGAAACAGTGGAAGAGTGAGGAGGAGGGACGGAGAAATGTGTGAGCTGCAGCAAAACCTACAGAGAAAAGGTGTTACAGGGATGAAGAAATGGAAGTGGGCGACTGGAAATGAGTGCAGAGAAGAGAAGATCGCACGCAAACAGAAGATGGAGGTAGCAGAGAAGCAGATGAGAAATGCCTGAAAACCAGATAAGACCGAGATGTGATATGGATTTCTTCTTCCTCCAGTGATTCAGAGGCAGAGTGTATCATACATATGACCATCTGCTCGCTGCACAGAGCCACGGAGAGCTCAGTGTTTCCCTCAATGAGGCTATCACTCGAAGTCCCTTCTCTTCCTCTAACACACATGCAGACACACATGCAGATCTACCTGACTCATCACCTTTCCACAAGGGGATTTATCCACTCTGTAACTCTGTAATGCTTTATCCTGAGCTGACCCATGTGCACGATGTAGATGAGGAGGAAGGAAAACAGAGAGTGAAACAAATACACATGATGGAGCAGAGAGACAGGAAATGAGAGTGAGAAGGAGAGAGGAAGAGGAGGGATAGATGTGGTATGCATGTAGTGGGCTGGTAATGTTGAGAGAGAGAGAAAGTGGCACAATAGCCACTTTTACAGAGAGAAATGAGAGAAAAGACAAGTGTTCACTCCTCTGGTCTTGCTTTGCTCATTTGAAATGTCATCCATTTCATAAAACTCAAAACCTGTAATGAGTTAAACAACGAAGGTGACTAGAGAATTTCTTCTTCTTTTGGATACAAGAGTGCTACCTTTATTGTGTTTCCCTCTTATAATTGCCTGTAACACTGTGAGGTAACTACAGTTTTTAGCCATGCTAGCATGTTACTTTCTCATTGAACTGTAATAACTTTGGTCTAAATTTTAGTCTGCCCAATACTTTGGTTTATTATCAATAATCCTGTAAAACTAATGTCCCATCAGCCTCAGCTGGACTCCATGTTAACTGCTAATTAGTAAATGTTGGCATGCTAACAGTTAAATAAGATGGTGAACATGATCAACATTATGCCTGCTAAATATCAGCATCAGCATTTAGCTCAAAGCACCTATGCATTTAAACTCCACAGAGCTGCTAGCATTGTATCAAAAAGATACACAGAGCACTGACAATGGTATAGATAAGGATGATGATATAATGATATAGATAAGGTTAAGAAGCAGTGGTCTGGGGCGTCCCGGTCCAATCTCAGCTCTCTAACATTTGCAATATAATAAAGGTAAAATGGAGAAAATTAACTGCTACTGCTATAAGAAAGGGAATTAATCAATTTGTTTAGTGCATTAGTATGCTAACATTTGCTAATTAGAACTAACCACAAAGTAAAGCTGAGGTGGATAGGTGTCTTGCAGTAATTTTGGCATAACCCAAAGAACTGGACAAATTGATTTTGATTTGATTGTAATCTGATGATTTCACCAAACATTCATGTCCCCCACTAAGACAATAAGTCCATTGGGGGTCATGGATGGACGTGCACAATTTCTCAGCAGTCCATCAACAGTTGAGCCATTCTGCTACCTTTTAATAAACGTGCAGAATATCAAGTGGATCCAGCTTATTTGAGGATTTAATGCGTTTCTTCATTTTAAGTTTATTTGGTTTTCGACTGGTTGGTTGGACAAAACAAGACATTTTTTCTGGGGACTTGATGGGCATTTCTTTTTCACACTTCATGGGATAACATTAATTTAACCTGCAAGGCCCACAGAATCAAACAGATACAGGCTTTAGTTGATTTTTCATTGGGCTGCCTGACTGTTCAAGGTGATCCTGAGGTCTCTCCAAGGAGTAAAGGACGTTGTTGGCGAAGAAGGAAGTTCATATGTTCTGATGCTGGTCCACCTCAGCTTCCCTACCCACTGCATGCCCGCCTTATCATGGTCTTATAAATAGTGAATAAGAGATAACACACATCACACTCTGGAGCGACATCCAGGGAGTGTGTTTTAGCTTTTACTGTGAAATACAACGAGACAGGGGACAAGACATACGGCAGACACCTGAAAGGGCCTCGAAATCTTTGGGGAGGGACAGGAGAGAGGATAAAACAAATATTACAGTTTGTAGCTTGACTGAGGGAAGGAATAAGAGAAGTACAAGGTAGAGTTAAGTAGAGGAAAAAAAAGGTCTACTGTGGATCCTGGTCAGAACAGAGCTTCGTCATGGCCACCTTGAAGGAGAAGAGGACCTGTGGGCAACGATGTGAAGACTTTGGCCGTTTTATCTGGAACTCCGACAATGGGACGCTCATGGGGAGAACGCCAGAGAAATGGGGTAGGAATAAAATAATAGTAATAATAATAATTCATTAACCTCTCTTATGCAAGAAGGGGTAGCAGAAACACCTTTTATATCAAGTACAATTGCTCTGTGTTAAATACAGGGATTATCAAAATGATTCAGTGATTTAGGAGGCATTTCATTCACTACTGATGAGGGTTTACTTGTGACAAGTGTTCCTGCAGTGTAGTTTTGTTGTTTGACATATGCTGTCATGATCTTTGTCTCTTTGTGTTATTGCATTTAGGCAACAGCTATCTGACCAGCAATGACTGAGAAATACTTTACCAGTACTTTTCCTGACAATACGTTTATTTTGTCCACCTGGAAGATTAACCATTACAACACCCCATGTTTCTCCAATATTTAAATTGAGGAACTACAAAGATTTGCAAAGTTAAAGGATAGATTCCTTGAGTACTGAGATGCCCTCATGTAACATCGTATAAGTTATAGATCTTTGTGGTTAATTCTTCTGTCCATTCTGGAGCTAAAGTCGTTCAACATTCATTCATTGTAAAATTCATCTTAAATCAAGTGGGTATTACATCGGAGTCATGGCCAATATGAACAGGAACAAGGATTGCAGAGACCTGTGACCTTTAAGCCAGTTTACTCAAGAGAAATATTTCTTGAAAAAGTATCACATTTATTTATTACATAAGAAATGTGTGTATGTTCTAAAAGACACACACACGTGAGCTCAGTCGCACATTATGTACTTGTATGTACCACTGTGTGACTTTTTCTGTCCTTTTAATATCACCACAGGGAAGTGTATGTTTGCAGCATGTGGACAGGGAGAGATAAGCCTGCTGTCGTGAGATAAGCTTCAGTTTTGTTTTGTTTGATCTTACAATCAGATTAAATTCAGCTCATATTCGACAAAGGACACCTTGACCTCTTGAAGATACAGCCTACCTTTGTAACCACACTCAAAACTATTTTGCACAGTCAAGTATGAAAACATCTGCAACAACTATCAAAAAAAGCTTTAAAATTAGACATTTTAACATCATCTTGAACAAAGAGAGGCAATGCACCCATTAACATGTAACCCTGATGATATGCTTTAATCAACAAAAACAAAACACCTATGTATCAATCTCTCTCCTTCACAGTGTACATCAGTCTGTATTATGTGGCCTTCTACGTGGTGATGACTTCCCTCTTTTCTTTGGCCATCTATGTGCTCATGTACACCCTGTGTCCATACGCCCCTGACTACCAAGACCGGCTAAAATCTCCGGGTAAAACAACAACAACAACAACAATAACAACAATGACAAGGAGTTACGACAATAATAAACTAAACCTCAGCGCCTCTTAACCAGCTGTCTGTTTGCTCCTTCAGGGGTGATGGTGTGGCCGGACACTTATGGAGAGGAGGTTATTGACATCAGCTACAACACATCAGACAAGAAAAGCTGGATGAAGATGTCCACCATCCTTCATGACTTCCTGAAGCGTTAGTATTTATTTGGTGGACAATTGCCTAATATTTAACATGGTGAAATTTTCAAAAAGGCATGTAAATCTTTCTTTCTCTCTCCTTCAGCCTACAATGACACCAAGCAGCTTGAATGTAACAAACACAACTGCACTAAGGGAAAGTACTTCATCCAGAAAACCTTCTCTGCCCCTGACCACACGAAGTGGGCATGTCCCTTCACGCAAAGCATGCTGGGAGCCTGCTCAGGACTTGAGGACCCGACCTTTGGCTACAACTGCAGCATGCCTTGTGTCATCATTAAGATGAACAGGGTATGTTTTACTAATAAACATCCTTCTGAGCCCTTCAGGGAAAACTTGGATTTTGCAGTACATTAAAAAAAAGAAATCACATTCAATGACCTTGACAGAAGGTAAATGTTCTGTTTTGTCTCTGCAGGTCATTGACTTTTTCCCTACTAATCAAACTGACCTTCCCCCATATGTCAACTGCACCATACTGGTGAGTGACGGCTGCATATACTGATTTCAACAGGATGCATTGAAGAAAATGAGTGAAGTTCTACGTGTTATTTAAAAGGGTACTCCAGCAATTTAGGAGAATAATTACAGAAGGAATGATCACAATCGGGACAGAGATTAGCTGACTTTTAGTCCCAGTATGGGTCAAGCTCCAATAACACTGGATCCTACATTTCCCATAATGCAACTCTTTTCATTAGAACCTCTCTATCTAGTAAACATCTGTGTCTTTCAACCCCAGTTTGTAACCTGTAAACCTGCTTTATAAATGTTTAAACTCCAAACTAAGCATTTTTTATGTGTAAAATCAGTTGAGTGCCACTTTAAATATGACATGTTTTATCTGTGTTTTTTTTATAGGAGGGACACAACAATGTGGCCAAAATTGAGTATTTCCCTGAAAGGGGAATTATGGATCTCTCTTACTTCCCATACTATGGAAATCTGGCGCAGGTAAGCAAGAAAACCAGGAGTCTGTATCAAGATGCAGTATGTTAATGTAATTGAAATGTCCTCTAAAAGTAAGGCTAGATTATCTTTAGTCTACCCTCCATTTTAAAAATGAAAATCAACATGATATCCTAGAAAAATGAAACATTCATAACAGTAACCAACAATCTGCCTCCTTCCTCCGTTTCCACAGCCTACTTATGTCAACCCACTGGTGGGTGTTCGGTTCAGCCTGGTCGGAGAGAAGCATGCCAAGATCCAGTGCAGAGTGGTCGCCGACAAGATCAGCTACGAAAACTACTACGACCCCTACGAAGGAAAAGTCACCTTCTACCTCAAAGCCGTGAAATGAGAAACACAACAGAAGATATTCAAGATATCCCATAATCATGTCAGAATCAAAGACAGAGCAGGCTTCCACAGATTATTAGTGATTCTGTTTATTTAACAACCTTCAAACTACGTGTGTTCAACTTAACCCAACAGTATAGGCCCACTTAAATCTCTGTGCTGTGTGCTGCTTTTACAAACTTGATTTGTCTGAGTGATTCATGAACTTCTTTATATTCAGTTTTAGATTTTCCCACGAAATACAGTAAAATCTATAAATCTGATGGACCTGTGAGAAAAACTTGTTGAGCAATTATGTTCTAAGAAGGCCATGACAAATGTATTTAAATGACATAATAAAGTTTCTAAATAAAAAAAATCATTCCAATTTCAGTTTGGTCTCATAAAGTATTTAACAAAGTTAAAGCTCAAGCTGTAAGGATGATTTATTTTTTAGTTTGTATAAGATAAATAAGCAAAACTATCAGTTATGAAGAATAAAGCAGTATACCTCTAAAAAAAATCTACTCACAAAATCTCTGTAGAGTATTTGTCACTAATAGGATGATGATGGTGATAAGGTTTCTCATAAATCTGCTGACTGCAGAGTTTGTGGGTTATCAGCTTACAAAGCACAGTGCATAGTATACACACACACGCACACGTGTAGGTGTGTGTTGTCCACTGCTGATATTCACACCGTCATTAGACGGAGTTTCTTTGACTTTGAAATCTCGGAAAGCCAGATGCTTTTTTTCTTGAAAAAGATTATCGTGCAGCATGATGAGATTAATATTTGATCACATGGATTCACACATATAAACCTGATGATTCACCGGCTTCTCCTCTGGTTTCAGTGCAGAGGGTATGAAGAGGGAAGATAAGTGCATTCCAACAACAGAGTAAATGTAAAAGTAAATACTTCTTTATGGTATTATTTTTAATAAATAAAGTAATTAAATCAACAATTGAAAAATACATGAACGTTTTAATTGAAACAGCATTTCTTTGTGTCTACAAGCGACACTCATGGCCACCAACACACATATGTAAACTCTCTGTTAACCTACTGCAGGAAAATATCTGAAAACAATATTAAACTTAAGAGATACAGTAACATGTGGCCGAGTTACACACATTTACATTGCACATTATGAATTATTAAACGTTTACAGCATGAGATGCCACAGAAGTGCTCTCTCACAGTGAGATGACACCTCTCTTTCTTCTGCTGCGGACAAGTGTTGAGCAGGCACATAACTTTGACATTCAGTGGTAACTAGTGCAGGATTTCTCTTTAAATGTAAAGAATAATTTATCTATATTTGAGTATTTGCATTTGTTTTTGTGAGCTGCTGCCTAATATTGTATTTCTTTATCTACATTCCTTAGTTTTCTACTGATGTGTAATGTATCATGGTTTTTGACAAGAAATGGGAGATTTATTAGGATAATTATTGTAGTTTTTGGGTAACACAAGAATGTGTTATCACACCTAAATACACAGTAGTACAATGATCAGAATAAACTACACATACCATCCATTAAATACAGTAGGAAGAGGGTTTGCCCTTCAATCAGAAGCAGAATCTGCCATAAAAAAGCAGATTTAAAAGAGCTAAATGTCAGATGTAGTAATGTCAAATATAGGAAAGATGGAGGTCATTTCAATGATATAAAAGTGATTTCCTATTAAAACAAGAAAAAATGTACTCATACATTAGAAGAAGAAGATTTGAGGCCTCAGATTTGGTCCGTGTGATCGCTACAAGGAACAGGCAAACTTGAGGTTCGAAGTGCAGACATGAATTAGCGTCAACAGAAAAAAAACAACAGAAATAGTGAAGAGGGAAACTTTTTTCTTTGTTTCTCTTTTTGGTGCATGCACACCTTTAACAGCATCAGAGCTGGAAGGATATCCAGTCTTCTGTGCTTCTCCACTAAACTGTGAAGCAGGTGTGTTTTCCCATCAAGTCACAGATACTGACTTCAAGATTTGTTGACTGAAGAGTGAAAGGGTTCAGTAATATAACCCTGTATTACTATTTTAGTGTGTGTTATACAGTCTTTATACAGTAAATGGTATTTATAGTAACTAATGTATATGTAACACTGCTCCAGGTACATGCTTGGAGAAAATGTCCCTTATAACAATCTGATGGAGGCATTTGTCAATAATCTCAAGTGAAACTGTAGCTGAAGATGATGATTTCCTCCCCTCAAAGGAGTGGATTGAATTTGTTGAATAAAGAAGAAGAAAGAAGAGGAGAAACATTTGGTCCAACAGGCCACGTCGTGTTGTTGTGTGCGAGTTTCTGAATGGAAAAATAAGACTTAACTTCTGCTCCTTGCGACGTCGCTGCCGGCTGTGTAAGAGTCACTGTATGCGGGACCCTTTCGGCCCTGAAGTCAGTCTGGTCATGGGACTGTTTTGTGTTCGGCCCGGGGAACCCATCTGTGTGTGGTGACTCTCCACAGCACCGGAGCCAGCAGCAAACTGAGAGTGGTGACACTGAGAACCAGCAGGTAAACCTGAGCACAGAGAGGAACATAAAGAATAAATACAGAGGATACAATTATGTGTTAATACTGTTTAATAAATCAATCTGCTAAACATAACCACTGACAGCAACCCTGTACCCGCACAATAATCATGACATTTAAACAACAAACTTTATTTAACAGTGACCCCTCAATGAGCACATTAATAACAGAGGAAAAGTTTAATAGTTTAAAGGGTTAATTCACCCAAAATTGATATCGATAGCTGTGTAGCTAGATACCACTAGGTTTTGATTGTTTCATTAACTTTGTCAAAAGGGTTCCAAAGTTGCTCTGTGGCCCGGTGGTTCCTCTCAGAGTTTCTGGTCCGCAGGCGGCTTTTTCTCTTTGGAGGACCAAGAAATAGAATTTTTTACTTATAGAACTCAAAATGGATCAAACTCAAACTGAACCAGTTTTTGAAGCGGGATCACTGATGTAGACAAGAATGATCTGCTGGTTGTCATTTTATGGTACTTGTATTGCATCATTGTTTGTAAATTGTTTGTCTTGTATGTATTTTTTTATGTATTCTAAAGGCCCATATAGGGACGGGCGTTGTTCAGATTCAGAATACTTTATTAATCACAGAAGGGCAATTCATTTCTACAATCTAACTCATCCATACATTGTTTAGCGCAACAGAGACAGAGGATACAATTATTGGTTATTATTTATTTATTATTCAATTTCATTATTTGTAAATCAATTTGCTGAACACAATCACCAATACTTAGCTCTGTTTAGCGTAACCTATAAGTGTCATGGTATGCAGAATTGGTTCATGCTACTGTATATACTTGTATATACACAAACATTAAAATAATCCTTACCTTTGTAAATTGTACACTTGTACATTATTTTAAAAAATGATATTTTGGGGTTTTTGAAGCAATGAAAATGTAATCTTGGGCTCTCAGAACTTGAGATCACATTTCTTTGGCATTTTAAAGACTAATCAAGTATCTGATTAATCAAAGAAACAACTGACAGATGAATCAATAACGAAAATAATAGCTAGTTGCTGCCCTAATCTATTTATAGAGCAGCACTTTCCAAAACCCAGGGAACAAAGTGCCTCAGCAAATTAAAAAACCAAATGAAAAGACATTAACTAGACCAGAATAAAATGGAATGGGGCAAAATAAGTGTCACCACTTGTATCACAGCTCGTCACTGACCTCTCTGGAGATGATGCCAGCTCGACGTGCACGGCTGCCCAAGACGAAAGAGAATTCGCTGACCTGCGCAAGGCCAGCTGAGACGATCCACCGTATGTGTCGAGAGCCTGGAGGCAAGATCGCCGACAACACCAGTACAGCCATGACGAACTAGAAGGAAAGAGGAGGGAATGAGAGTGTTTCAGAGGTGACCTGGAGAAGGAAAAGAGCAAAAGCGAGAAAAGTGCGGTACCTTCATAATGACGAGCGTGAGTGTTAGCACCAGCAGGATGGTGAGTTCATACAGCACAAATGTCGGGAACACGTGAAGACCTGCAGCATCACAAAAACACACACAATGAGCCAGTAAAGCCTCAATGTAGATGATAAAAAAGCGTAACATGATAACAAAGTTGAGATGTGTCAGAAATGATCATGTTGGCTCTGACCAATAGAGGCAAAGAAGATGATGGCGAGAAAATCTCTGATTGGCTCAATGCACCCCATGACCTCTGCGGTGACCATGTGACCCTGTGTGGACAGCAAAGCTCCAGCCAGGAAACAGCCCAACTCCATAGATACATCCAGAAACTCAGTTACCTAGCGATCACGTCAAGAAGAGGAAAATCAACACAGACAGCTTCCTCATCAGTTAAAAAATGTGGGCTTTGGTGAAAAAACATCAGACATTTGTAAAAATGAATTCAAAACATCTAAAAAAAAAAAAAAAAAAAAAAAAAAAAAAAAAGAGCATACCGTCAGCATAAAAAAGACAAAAGCTGCCATCCCCAGAACCAGGATCTCCTTGTTGCCTTTGCTCTCAGCATGCAGCTTCTTGTAATAGGGGCCAATCAGGAATGATTTGAGTAACAAACAAAGCAGCAGCACAGCAGCCAGAGACGCCAGGACCTGGGCCAGGAGATACAGCACGCGCAGACTTCCAAACAGGAAGCTGTGGTGCACAGAGGGAACAACAGATTCACAAAGCTCTGTGTGTGTGTGTGTGTGTGTGTGTGTGTGTGTGTGTCTCTCGAGGGGAGAGGACACAAGCAAGAACAAAAAGGCTAACTGACCTGTCCAAGTCTCCACTCTGTGCCTGGATCAGAGTTGGCATGACAGCAATGAAGAGGCCGAGCTGAACATCTTGCATCACTAACATCCCAAGAAGAACACTGCTGTAGTCCAGGTCACCTGTGTCTCACACACACACACACACGCAGACACATACACACACAATCATGTGAAGCCACCATCTTGTTCTTCTTATGCCTCCACGCCAGCTCTATTTACTCCCATTGCTGCAGAGAAGCTGTAACTTAAC